AAGCGGGGAGCACAGACTTTTGCATAACGCATAAAGCATGTGCATAAGGAATTTCATTGGTCCATTTTCTTATGCATGAGTCAATGGACCAATCAAATTCTTTATGTATATGGTTTATGCGTTATGCAAAAGTCTGTGCTCCCCGCTTAAACCCATAGAGATAATACAGATAGAGTAGGTGAGCAATATGCTGGATTCACACTGAATCCGATTTTCGTCGTACGACGACTCTGCAACCAATCAGAAAAATCGTAACATTAAAGACCTATAATCAAAGCCAACTGTCCCCCACCACTAAAGACCTATAATGAAAGATGCGCCAACCGCGAACGGCCCGTGATTGGTCCGCCATTGCGTACCCGTGCCAACCTTACCTGCCTGAAGCTGCCAAGCTAGGTGAGAAGATAAGAGCAGAGAGAAACTCTCTGATAAGAGCCTGTTACGAATTGGTTATAAAAATATGTAGGTAAAAATTGCGAAGTATGGTCTTGTTTTATGAAATATGTAATATTATGATAATGATATAATATTATGATATTATTTATTCTAAATATTTTAACATTTAATGTTTAGATTAAAAAAAAATTTAAAGCTAAGAATGACACTAATTGCTCAAATATATGAAAATTTTATTAATCATCAATATTCAAATATATAAACATGTATAATTATTTTTTTATTTGTTATATTCAATCATATGTTCCATCAAATGTATTGCCTTGTTCATTCGATTCATTTCGTAGGATTATTTTAATGCTCTAAAGTATTTTATTTTTCAATTTCAAACATCTGATGATTTCGGATGCGATCGTACATTCCCTCTGTAGAGTTTGCAACACCTCTTCTTCTAGTACTCCAACTCCACTTTGTTGACATTAGAGGCCTAGAAAACAGAGATGCGACATTGCGTCGGTTGGGTTCATAGACTTATAAGATAGACGGACATACGAGAGAAGTTGAAGACTTGATAGAAAGAGAGAGAAATAGTCGCGGAGTAGTGAAGGTTGATTTATACTGGCCGTAAACTGTTAACTTATGCCGTAATCTGTAAAAATTGACCAATCACAGTCGAATGAGAGGGGAATAATCGATTATAATTGGTCAATTTTTACAGATTACAGCATAAGTTAACAGATTACGGCCAGTATAAATCAACCTTAAGAGTCTGGACCATAGATATTTATATAACACTAGATCGCTAACTGGGCTCTAGTACATGATTCCTAAAAGTATGTACTAAACCCATGTCACGTGTCCGTGACGTTGGCGCATTACTAGCAGCCGACGCATCTGGAGACAATAAAATACGAGAATGATTGCGACTTACCTATGAAATATTACCACTTGATTTTCTTTTCCACTTAAACGGCGGCAACTTTTAACACGATAATTGATAATGGCATTGTAAATTTTCCAAAATCACGCACAAACGAACGTTACACGTACATACGTATATCGCCCATGTGGCCTTACCGCGGCCATTACACAATAGTATATACCACGTGACCGTTTCATTCCGACGTCATGCTTCGAAATACATAAATTTTGGAATCAATTTTTATGCACGGTATATAGCGATCTAGTGTTATATAAATATCTATGGTCTGGACACGTAAAGTCCGCCATTATTCGTCGAAATTGTGCGAGAGAGAAAAAATCATGCTA